CCCTTGTGAATAAAAATATATTCAGTACTAAAAAATAAGAACATGTAGTCCCAGCACAGTGCATTCTGAAAATTTGAGACACAAGAGCCTGGATCCCAGTGATCTCTATAGGTTTAATGTATCATACATGCACTGATTTGCAATAAACTCTAAGCACTCACACCCCAAATACAGAAGAAAATCAAATACAGAACATTTTCTTGTTGCAGCTCATTGATACCCTGGCAACTTACGAATTGCTTGCTTGTTTATTTATTTGACACTACTCCATGCATCCATTCTCAGCTTCTCTTGATCCACTATAGCACTGGAGACAGAATTATGGACTCAATATTTTCAGCTTCTCAGAGACACATTGAGCATTTTTACAATAAAGATATTTACACATTAGTCCATTTTATTCAGAGTGTTTGTAAGATGCTCTTCAAAACGTATTACTATTTAATGGTTGCCAATAGTTACTTGGCATTATTACTGCTGTTATGATTATTCATAAGATTCATGGCAGAATATAATGTTTATAAGACATGCATTAAATTAAGAGTACATTTTTAATGCATTAGAAATGCAGGCTTCATAGAAAGAGTCATCTATTGTTTCTTTGAAAAACATACCGACAAATTTCTGTAGACCAGTTAGGTATTCATCAGATGAGTAACATACAGGGCTTTATTTTGACGGTCCATGCGCAGAGCGCAGGGCACAAACGCTTTCAGGGCGTGTCAGAATGCATTTTTGCTAATTTAAGGACGGGAAAATCCGCTTTGTGCCAAGGCGCATGATCTAAAAGGGTTGAGTTTATTTTCTTAATGAGTTATAGGTGTGTTTTGAGAATAAACCAATTAGAGCCTCATCTCCCATTCACTTTAAGAGCCAGCTGCGTCGCGCCAGAAGCGCATTTTGACGTAAAGTAAGTTCACTTTCGCTTTTGCTCTCGTGGATAGGGAAACCTTTACGCACAGACATCAATTAGCCTATAAATAATTCATTTTGTTTGTTAAGCGCAAAGATTTGTTTCAAAACTATTTCTAAATTCAGTTCTAATTTCTAGCAAACGAATAAATGAACAATAATAACCATGTGTGGTCAAAATACTGAGTTATTTCCAAATACCTGCCATGCCCCATATGGTCTAAAATTTGAAAGGTGGACAAATCTAAGCTTGTTTTTAATAAAACAAATATAAATATGGATATAATAAATAATACTGCTAATAATAATAACTTTATACAAAAACAAATTAAATGAACTGAAAAAGCCTCCCAAGATGAAGAAAGTAAGGCAGTGGTTTTTAAATCTTCATGTCTAGAAATTAATATGTTTTGTAATATTTTTATCATTTATATTTATATCCTGTATATTGACCTTATTCTAAAATGCGGAAGTGCGCCTGTTTTCGCGATTGTCTTAGAACTTCCGTTTCAGTCGCCTATGGGAGAAATGACAAGGAATAATAAACGGCAAAAAACGGTCAAACTACTTGCTCTACAAACAAATGTTTGCATGACCATACAGATCAAGTAGAATAATATAACAAGGAAATATAAGTTTACAACATCAAACAGCGAAACGAGCAGTTTTTAATGTCTAAAATTGAATGGAAGTGAATGAGACCGGAAGTCTCGTGCCAAAAAGATTCAAATGGCAGCGCCAGCTCGTCTGCGGAGAATAAGGTCAATATCCTTATTATTAATATCTGCGCCAGACAATAGACCGACTTTGTTCTGGTCTAAAGATAAGACTATTTACAGTTTCTTAAAATAGCAACGCGCCAAAACACGCCTGCTTTTTTAGACCAAAATGCCTATGGGCACACATTTGAGCGCAAATATATTTGCTATTTAAACAGCGTGGCGCAACACCTCAAAATGACCCTTGCGCCGAGCTAAAAGTAGCAAAAGAGTATTGCGCCGCGCCTTGCGCCACATTGCGCCGGGTGTATGATAGGGCCCACAGTCTCTGGATATAATGGTTGTACTATGAGCATTTATTTTCAGCATAATTTTACTGGCAAGTAAACTAGTTTCAGTTCCAATCTGACAGCACCACAGCAATCTCTAGTACAAGACCTGAAGAACAACAGTACATGGCAAAGACTATCTGACAGGCAAATGTCAATTACTGCACATCACATCAAAACACAATCATCAAAGAGAAAAGCTGAATAGAAACGGAATAACTAAGGCTCAGTGCATAGTGGCATGAGGCTAATGTCCTTAAAATTAAAGGAATTGTTCCTGTGATTTCATGAAATTTAAGTCAGGTTTTAGAGGAGTAGATGTCAACTTAAAATGATTGAATGCGATGGCCCCACAAAGTGTTTAGACATCCAAGCCACACTTAAAACATTTAAAAAGCCAAGCAACTCCACCTGTAAGTGAATGGCATGATATTGTAATGGAGGTGTATAATATGAAAGTACTGACACTTTCCTTCAGACATTTTTTTATTTTAATGTACCCGGAATTCAATGGATTTTCCATTCCTAATGGGGCAGATATGTAACACTTAACAGTAATTTATATGGCAGGATCTGGTCAAATAAATATAAAAACCTATTAATGTAATTTAGTTTGTATCTAGTGATTAAAAAAAAAAAGGCCAAGGAAAGCATTTTAGAATTTTTTTGATATGCAGTTTAGAAGAATGAAGACAAAAGTATTTGCCTCTGCAAGAACACTTATATGAACCTTTTGTATATTTGTATTGTATATCTTATTGACACCAGCTAATTAGGGTTGACAAAAAACAGCTGAAGGTCAGTTATAAAAATTGCATAATTGGGATTTGTTCACAGGTGACAAGATTTAGAAGGGTTTAGATGACATTAACACTTTTTTAAATTAAATAAAAAAAAATAGGTCCCACTTTATATTAAGTGTCCTTAACTACTATGTACTTACATCAAAAAAATAAATACAATGTACTTACTGTGTTTATGATATATTTGAGAACACTTGTGGTGCTTTTGAGTTGGGATAGGGGTTGGGTTATGGACAGGTTTGGTGGCATGGGTAGGTTTAATGGTGGGTTAAGGTGTAAGGAATGGTCAACAATGTATTTACAAATGTAGTTACAAAAGTTAATTACAGATGTAATTACATACATGTAATTAATCAAGCACAAGTACACAGTAAATACATGTATTTACACAATAAGAATATTGTAACAAACTATTAGTTCCTGTGTAAATACAAATTAGTTAAGGCCACTTAATATAAAGTGGGACCAAAAAATAAAATGATGACAAATGTATCATCAACAGCGACAGGTATTATAAAAAAAAAATAAAAACTGGTCTGTAAATAGAACTAAACATTGAAATGCATGTATAATCCCATATAAACTACCTTACAATACGTTGTATCATCAGAAACATAATCGTAACAACAGTTAAATCAAGTCTCGATGCATTATAATGCACGCAAAATCTACTGATGCATGCATAACTGTTTATTTTGTATATTTAAAAAGGAATCCTTAAATTATAATTTATTATAACTGCAATGGATAACATTTTCAAAGATTTTTTTATTGCTATGTGATTCATTGGCTTGAGAATAAAAAAAAAATAAAAAATTTTTTTTAGCTGTATACAGCATGATCTAAATGGGTCATTATGAGGCACTGGTATTATAAAGCAAAACAATTGGTGTACGCATAGAACTGAACATCATCTACAAAAATATTAAACCAAAGCCTTGGCAAATAAGCTTTCTGTCACATAAAAATGTAAACACTGGCATGTTTTTTGTATTTATTTATTTATTTATTTATTTTTATCTCAAAGTGCCAGCAACTGATGACTTTTTTTAAGCTAAACCACAGTTTCAGCTACAATTTAAACAGGTACAAATTTTAAAAGTTACATACAGTAGAATCACAATGGACTAAGGGCGAGTAAATTAACAGCTAATTTTCATTTTCGGCTAAACTATATCTTTAAAAAAACTACATGCTTTTTAGGGCCACTATATATGGTAATAAAAACTATGATTCATGAAGCATAATGTTCCGTTGTGGCTAGCTGGCAGTAGCTCTAAATTATAGTAATAAACTGCTAAATTGCACTCACCAGCAATGTAAGTGCTTTACTGAGCCAAAAACTTTCTCTCTCGTATATAATAATAACGGTGGGAGGTGTTAAATCTGATCTATTCTTCTTAATCTAGAGCTATAATCTATTTGCTTTCTAATAAGCCAGGATTACTTGGACAAATGTTACTGAAAAACACTGCTTATTCGCTGTTTATAGCCTATTCTGCTCTGATTTTCATCAATGTTTGAGCAGATTTTTGCAAGAAGTAAATCAACTTTTAAAGCAAAGTTTAAATCTATGGTTCACCCAAAAATGAAAATTCTGTCATCATTTACTCATCCTCCACTTCTTCCTAGATATTTTCTTTTCTTTCTAGGGTTTCACATACTGTAAGACAAATATTTAACACAAAAGGCGCTGTTGATTCATAAGACAACATCTTTGCTGTAATATCCTTCGAATAAAAAAAAAGGTGACAGCTCTATCTACAAGGTCTGCTTTAGATTTAATTAAATGGTGTGAATTTAATTTGACGACCAAAATATATTTATATTTGTGTTTAATGCCAGCTCATTATCATGGATTCGAATACGAGTGAAATGGGCACATATGTGGAAAATGTATAAATGTATGAGACGCCGCATATGCACGATTCCCTCCATACTGATTTACACAAAAATAGCACGAGTCCGATTAAAAATAAAGTTCTTTGGGGAGAAAAAAAAATTTATTCAACTTTATTCCCAGCTAAACTGAATGATGTTATGGAGAGAGAGCAAGAGAGTATGTGCCTGTCTCTCCGGCCCTGTATTCCTGGTGCGTGGTGGACTGTGGCGGTGGCAGCCGGTGGCTAGTGGCGATTTAATAAAGTGCGGGTGCCCTCCCGCCGGTCAGCTGGCACTGTATCGTGGCCAGTGGACGGGCGCAGTGTTGTGGCATGTAATAGGATTAAGGGGGTTACCTGGTGAGGTGCAGTTGGCGCTGGGCGCGGCTTAGCCCCTCAGCCAGGCCTGCTGCCTCCGCCCGGGCTCGGCCCTCTGCCCTCTGGGCCTCCTCCAAACGCTGCCGGTAACCGCTCAGCTCCACACCCAACTTCTGTACTTCCTGAACCCCATGAGAGGATAGAAAAAGACCAAACAATTGCTCACTTTTGCATTCAAATCTACATGTTTTTTTACACGTGTAAATTTATTTTATAAAATAAAATAAAAAATTAATATACACTTAACATTAAGCGTTGCTAAAATATTTACTAAAAAACTGCTTTTAAAAAAATAAATAAATAAATAAAATAAGTACATACCTGCTCTGCCAGTTCTAGTTGGCGGCCTAATTTGGAGCTGATGTCCCTCACGTCTCTCTCTGCCTCCTCTTTCTTCAGCTGGGCCTGGCTCAACAGAAAGCGCAGCTCTGCACACATCTGACACAAGCATACATGCCACTTAAAGCAAAAGTCCAGAGTAAGTTTCAATAGTCCTGTCTGCCATTTAGGAGAAAAATGTTAATTCATATATTCTACTCAAATTCATTGAGGACATCCTTGCTGTGTCTTTTTATCAGCTCTGAAAACTTCTACTAGCGCAATTACTGCATCCAATCCACCAGATTAGCTAATAATATAGTTCTACTGCCATCTAGTGGCAACACATTTTCCATACAAAAATGACTGAACACATCATTAATGGCAACGATGTATAAATATAACATTCAATTAATCAGTGTTGAAGGTCAACCAAAAAGGTTTACAAGCCTGTCATCATTTACTCACCCTCCACCCGTTTCATTATTTTCTATTGAACTCAAAGATATTCTAAAGAATCACTTTAAAAGTGGTAACCATTTAATTAAATCTAAAGCAGACCTTGTTTACAGACCTGTCATCTTTTTTTATTCAAAGGATATTACAGCAAAGATGTTGTCTTATAAATCAACAGCGCCTTTTGTGTTAAATATTTGTCTTACAGTAAAAATATCAGTAAATTAATCACAATTAATTGTCATTATTTGATCTAAAACACAGTTATTTGTAAATTTCTCAGTCCTCAACAAAAGAGGACAAAGAGATGCTGATTTAATTTTAGCAAAGAACGAGACAAAACAATTCTGTAATTTGCAAAGGCAAACAAAGATCATATTTCACATAATATTATATTATATTATTCATTCATTTATTTTCTTTTCGGCTTAGTCCCTTTATTATTCTAGGGTCGCCACAGCGGAATGAACCGCCAACTTATCCAGCATATTTTTTACACAGCGGATACACAGCTGCAACCCATCACTGGGAAACATCCATAGACACTCATTCACACTCATACACTACGACCAATTTAGCTAGCCCAATTCACCTGTACAGCATGTCTTTGGACTGTGGGGTGGAAACTGAAGCACTCGGAGGAAACCCACAGGAACATAGAGAAAAACTGCAAACTCCACACAGAAATGCCAACAGACCCAGCCTAGGCTCAAACCAGTGGCATTCTTGCTGGGAGGTGATCATGCAACCCACTGCACCACCGTGACACCCTTTATTATTATATATTATATTATATTATATTATATTATATTATATTATATTTTATTATATTATATTATATTATATTATATTATATTATATTATATTATATTATATTATATTATATTATATTATAATATATTATGACTGTGAAGCACTAATTAAGCTATAAAAAGCCAGTTGAATCATGCAATACACTTTTAAAATAATGCTCACACTTTTGTTAGTTTGTTTTGATGCAAGTTGAATGAGAGACATTTTTGGCTGCGTTTGGCACATTTTGATTTCAGACTTTTTTGGACATTCTGTCATATTTGCACAATGTTTCCTCTTGAATTGTTCAAAAAAATAAAAATGAAACAACATGATCAACACTAAATCATTTGAAATTCCTCCACAATTAAACATCGGCTCATTATATTTTGCAAAGTTTTAACGTATTGAGAAAGTGTCAAACTTCAACCATCTTTGAGTGTTTTACAGAGGGCCCTACCTTGCTGCTGTCAGTTTCTTGTACGGTAAGCTTTTTATAAGCTTCTTCCAGCTGACTGTTGAGCGAGTTTCGATCTCTTTCTCCTCTATCCAACAGACCCTGCAATTCAGCCACTTTCTGAGACAGACTGCTCAGCTAAAAATGAGAAACAACACAAAATTAATCAATGGATTAAGAAAAAGTCAACTTTTGCAAATAATGTGAAAATTGAAAAAGAAAATGAAAAAAAAAGTAAAATATGCAAATAATTTAGAATGTAAAATATGGCATATGGAATATTATCTGATTTTATACTTCTAAAATTCATGCAAAAGGCACAAACCATTATCAAGAATTTCTAAAATCTAGTTTACATGCAGGTTTTCAATACTTAATTTGTAATGTAATAAATGATTCAATTACGAAATAAGGAAAAGCTGGCTTATTTTATTCCTCATTTATTAGTCACTTTGGATACAAAAACAAAGTCTAGATTACTATCATTAATATTATTATAAATATTACTATAATGAGCAAATATAAACATAAGAATGTAAAACAGAAGCACTGTTCTCTGTCTCTTAATCCCTACTATACTGTTCATGAAATAACATGCATAATAAAGAGTCTTTCCTTTTTTAAACTGGATTTTGCTTACAGTTATATACTTTTTTCCTATGCACCAAATTTTAAAAGAGTAAAAGAATTAACAAATGACTTTCAACAAGAATAACCATGGAAGTTTGAATATTTCCAGACATGTTAAATATTGATTAGCAGAAACACTAAGAGCCCTATCATACACCCGGCGCAATGTGGCGCTAGGCCCGGCGTAGTAGTCTTTTGGTAGTTTCAGCTTGGCGCAAGAGTCGTTTTGAGGCGTTGCGCTACGCTGTTTAAATAGCAAATGCATTTGCGCTCATATGTGTGCCCATAGGCGTTCTGGTCTAAAAAGGAAGGCGTTCTGAGGCGAATAGCTGGCGCGTTGCTATTTTGGGAAACTATAATAGATTTTTCAATATACCAAAACAAACCCGGTCAAATCTCCAGAGCAAAGTTGCGCCTCGCTTACACACTGCTTAATACACACAGGAAGATGTTAAGCAATACGCAAATATCTTTACATATGAAAAAATAATATATAAAGGATATATATATAGGATATAATAAGAATATATATAGGATATAAATATAAGAATTGAAAAATTACAAAACATTATTTTCTAGCCTACATAAATATGAAAAAACACTGTTTTTATGCCTTCATCTCAGGAGGCTTTTTCAGTTCATTCATAACAAATTGTCATTCATGACAAATAAAGTTTTTATTATTAGCAGTATTATTTATTATATCCATATTTATATTTGTTTTATTAAAAACAAGCTAAGATTTGCCCACCTGCAGGTTTTAGACCATATGGGGCACAGCATGTGTTTTAGGATATAACTCAGGTTTTTAAACACACTTCGTTATTATTGTTCATTTATTCGTTTGCTGGAAATTAGAACAGAATTTAGAAATAGTTTTGAAACAAATATTTGCGATTAACAAATGAAATTAATTATTTATAGGCTAATTGATGTCTGTGCGTACAAGGTTTCCCTATCCACGAGAGCGAAAGTGAAAGTATTCTAAGTAGATGCTCTGTTTAACAGTTTTCTGTTAAAAAAAAACTGTTTACTGTTAACTGTTTGCTTGTGAAATGGTCAGTTGTTCCACTTACACTTACTTTACGTCATGTAAATAGCAAATGCACTAATGGCGCAACGCAAGGCTCTTAAAGGGAATGGGAGATGAGACTCTGATTGGTTTATTCTGAAAACACACCTATAACTCATTAAGAAAATAAACTCAACCCTTTTAGACCATGCGCCACGGCGCAAAGCAGATTTTTCCATCCTTAAATGAGTAAAAATGCATTCTAACATGCCCTGAAAGCGTCTGCAGCCTGCGTTTTATGCATGGACCGTCAAAATAGAGCCCTGAGTATTTCTAAATGATTTCTTCCTTTTAGCAGATAACAAATATTGCATTCAACTGCTTTACAATCATTTAAGTAAACTCTGTCAACAGAGAGTACAAGTGAGACAATTACATTTTAAAGCATCAGTGTAAAAACAAACCTAAAAAAGATACAGGTTTGTGGGGGGAAATGAGGGATTATTTGTGTATTTACAGACTTGTTACATTGCAAAAATCTTTTACCATAACTATTCGTGATCTATCATTTCACAGTTAATTTCATTATTTTTTCTGAAGTCTTAAAATCCATAATGAAGAAATATTTAGTTCATTTGTAAAATCATGGATTACTTCTGTAGCAAATTAAAAAAATGCACTAAATAATTCTGAGCTCCAAAAATATAAACTTCATTTTGAAGTAGGACTAAAGGATAATGAAACGCCACACGCTTTGTAAGAGCTTTTTAAAGTTAATACATTTATATTTATGGAGCTTTGGTGTTTCCACCTTTACGATTTTTTGTTCTATAGCAGAACCACATCATTTTTAAAAAATGTAACCCCTGCAGATCAGATGTCTCACATAGTCTAAAATGCAGCAGACTTTGATTGCATAATTAGTAAAGCAGCCACGCAAAATATGATCCATCTACATTTGCCATGTCAAAATTGTAGGTGTACTATAATAAAACTGACACTAGAGGGCAGCATAAAACAAATTTGTTGAACCACCCAATCCCTCTATACAAACAGTCAAAAACTTCAGTTATGTAAAACATGACACAAAAATATGAGGAACAACAATATATAGTATTGTTGTAAATTACTAACAGTCTGCATGAGTTCTTCCCTCTCTTTCTTGCTCTCTGAACGCGCTGCCTCCCTGGCCTGAGAGATTTTGTCCTGCTCAGATGCCAGCTCTCTCTCCAGTCTCTCTCTCTGTCTAGTCAGCTCATTGTGAAAATGCTCACACTGCACCAGCGCCTGCAGGTGCACAACAACAGAGCACAAGTTAAAGAGACATGAAGACTTAAAACACATCTGTGAGATGTTATTAGATATGCATTAGAGTTCCCACACAAATTCTCTAACTTTTACCTGCCTAAAAAGGTGACATTTCCATGGCATGCTATGCTCAAACAATTATAATTTCATGCAAAGCATAAGCAATAGCATTTCTCACTAATTTAATAGACATTATGAGAGCAAAAATGGATAACATACCACTTTTTTTTAATAAAAAAAAAAACAAGAGCACCCCGTTATGCATGGAATAATAATGATTTTTAGGGTACACAATGGTTTGGAAAAGTCAAGGTTTTAAAACCGCCAAGATTTTCTGCTATGCCATTGCTACGGTTTATGATTTTTGTTTTCCTTTTTTTTGTTTGTTTGTTTTTTTTGTGTTTGTTTGTTTGTTTGTTTTTAGGACAACAGTATCTCCAGCAGAAAAGATGTCCAAAGATGCCATTTTAAATAGTAAAGAAATCTGTGTTGAAACTAATGGAGACAGCAGAAGTCAATGATTCTTTTGAAATATATAGACTGACATGTTTACTGTTCCAAAATACTTTAAATGTTCCTCAAAATAAACTATTGTGTTCAAAATGAAAAAAAAAAGATTTTCATTAAAAAAAACATTTCAGAGCAGTAATCACAATACAGTAAAACTTTGATATTTTTATCCAAGGTTATCATACCGTCAGAATCTTATACCGGGCCATGCCTACACCCAGTCTAACAACTTCCTAGTCATTAAAGTAGGGCTGCAGAAAAGTGGAAAAAAAACTGACATTGCAATGTTTTAATATATTGCAATATGAAAACCATTTTACTCAATGATTTGAATAGCTCAATTTAGAAAGAATTCCTAATTTAATATTGACTAGGATTATTTCTTAAAACAGATAATCGGCATAAATCAAAGAGATAGTGTTTTATGAGTTTCTGAAACGAGTCTAACGTATTCAGGTATAGACATTAAATGTAAATAAATTGCACTGCATAGTCTTCATTTTATAAAACATCTTGGTAAAATGTTATAATTTCTTGTACACAAATGAACAAAAATTCGCTCTATTAAGGTTAAACCTCACAATGTGGTTCCTGGAAAACTATAATCTCCACTCAAATTTGCTAATGGATGAATAAACAAACTAAACTGACATTGCAGATTCTGTGTTGTGACTACTGCGGATTTGTACATTGCGATATCAATGCTGAAATGATATACTGTGCAGCCCTTTTTTGAAGTCAAAGCTCTTAAAATGAAATTTGTCCTTCTATGCTTGCCTTACCTAACAAGTACAGTTAGTAGGGCTGTATGATTAATCGAAAAGTTATCGAAATCGACATTTAGAATCAATAAATCGATCAATTTCCCCCACCACCAGCTAGCGTTTTGGAGTTGTTACTGCAGTGCAACACAAACAGCAGGCAGGAGTATCACTGCATGACTACGCACAAGGCACGCGCAGTGTCATGGCTATCACTTGAGTTATTTTATTTAGAAGAGATACTGCTTTTTTCTACTTTTAATATGAAAAACATCAAAAATAACTTATTTTGTTTCCATAAGTGCAAGTTATTCATTTTCATTTTTTATAAGAAAAAAAAGTAACTGTTGGTTTTAGGCAATGTTTTTTTAAATCCAGCTGTTCAACACTAATTCATTTATTCATTATCTTGTCGGTTTAGTCTCTTTATTAATCTGGGGTCGCCACAGCGGAATGAACCGAAAACTTATCCAGCAAGTTTTTATGCAGCGGATGCCCTTCCAGCCGCAACCCATCTCAGGGAAACATCCACACACACTCATACACTACAGACAATTTAGCCTACCCAATTCACCTGTACCGCATGTCTTTGGACTGTGGGGTAAACCGGAGTACCCGGAGGAAACCCACACGAATGCAGGGAGAACATGCAAACTCCACACAGAAACGTCAACTGAGCCAAGGATCGAACCAGCGACCCAGCGACCTTCTTGCTATGAGGCGAACGTGCTACCCACTGCATCACCCCTGTTCAACACTAATGTTCAATAAATAAATAATCATAGATAGTAGATGTGTGTTTCCTATAATTATTTTAAATTCAAGTAATGCACCATTTAAAAATATCTCAATTGTGATATGTGAGCACATTTACTGCACAAAACCTGTCCGTGAACTAAAAAAAAAAAGAAATAATCGTTCATTAATCGTAATTGAGTTCAAATGTTTAATTAATCAAGATTTAGATTTTAGGACAAACCGCCCAGCCCTGACAGTCAGTTAACAAGTGACTGCAAGTTGACCGGTAGGAAAGGAATAAAATTATGCAGAAAAATAGAAATAAGTAAAACTTGTGAAGTGTTATAAAAACATCACATTTTGAAAAACGGAAACCAACATGTAAAGTGATTAACAAAAATCCCTGATATTTCATGACTATAAATATGGAAATTGACTTCCAAATTCTGGAATAGACATTTTAAAATTCCAGGATATTTCAGAAATTACATGACCTGTGGAAACCCTCGTAAATTGTGTTTCTGTGTGTGTATGTGTGTGGACTCTTTCTAGCACTAAAGGTACATTTTAAGCATTACCTGAAATGATATACAACAAATGTAAAATTAACATTAAACTCAATCCATTATTTATGTAAAATCATGCAAAATGCCCAAATGTTAAAGACAGCACTTGATTATGTTGATGCTGAGAGATCTGCTGCCAGAACTGCACTAACTGCAGCACTGCATCTCAGTAGATTGTGTGTGTGTGTGTGTGTGTGTGTGTGTGTGTGTGTGTGTGTGTGTGTGCTGCTTGCATTGCTAGTGTGCATTTAAATGAGCAAATTAGCCGTCTTTACGCAACTCCTTCCCACATGACAATTCAATGAGACAGATCAATGAGTAACCCTACATGTAGTATATCTATTCTACACAGTTCACCGTATGCATTTAGGATCATGCAAAACAGTAAAATGCTTATTCAAGTAATGTTAACAACACATACTCTTGTCTTCTCCAGGTTGGCCTCTTCTGCCATCTCTACTGCCTGTTTGACCTGCTGATAGGCTCCCCATTCTCTCTGCTGGGCGTCAGTCTGACTGGCCCTCAGAGAGCAGAGAACGGTCATCAGCTCATCTCGCTCTCTAACAAACACACAAACATATGCATCTCATCGGGTTTCCCAAAGCAGCCATTGATCTGACACATAATCAGCACAGCAGCTGTTTGGCTTCATGGCCAGTCAAGACTCCTTTCAACCTTGCTGTAAGGATGTATAATTGACAGAATTAACACAGAGATCAATTCAAGTGGTCAAAGGAGGCTAACGGTGTTAATTAACCCAGATGATCGTTCCCAAGGCATTCGCTACATCAATGCATTGTATGTGAAGTTATTTAGCTTGAGTTCGAAAATAATGTACAGTTATTGTGCATGAGTCTTATAAAAATATATGACTGAAAACGAACACATATTTTGACAATTTATTAGAGATGCACCAATGTACTGGTCAATAAACGATATGGTCCAATAAAAGTGATAATATCCTAATGATCAAAGCAGGTTGCAAAAAAAATGCATGTGGCTAGGGCTGCACGATTCTGGCTAAAATGAGTCACCATTTTTTTTGCTTAAAATCAAGGTTGCAATTTTCTTACGATTCTGTAGATGAAAAATAAAGGTTAATACGAGTAGGCTATTATAACTTTTTTCCTCAAACATATGGTAAAAGTTGGTTAAAATGCTAAATTTTGAATAGACTTGGAATGATGGACTTGAACAGACTTGAAATGTCCTGCTTGTTAATTCACACTAAAGTGACGACAAACTATTCATAATTCTAAAGCTGAATTATTATGTTTGAGATATATGCTTGTCATTTGTCTTTGACAACATTAGTAGACCATTTTTATCACTGGTAAAATAAAACATTTGGTTGTTATAAGATTTCATATAACATTGTATAGGCTAGAGTAGTCACACTGACCCAGCAAACATTTTTCATGCACAAACCTTTGTGTTTGCTATGAAAGAAAAAACATATCAAATGTTTGTCTAATCATAACTCTAAAATGCGATATGAGCATTTAAATGATGTGCAGACTTTTCATTTTACTTTTCACTGCCGAGCGCGCTCATTTCATGGCTGCATCACTTTGAGTTCAGTTTGCAGTAAACTGAACGTTATTTACAACTTTATTACCTGTTATTTAAAATCCAATGCAGCCTGAAGTAGACATGATTGGCGGGCATGTGCGTGTCCTCTTGATAGTAAACAAACAGTGCATCAGCTTATGTGTGATTTGGAATACGTCATTAAAAAGACAATTTTTGTTGAATTATCACTTATAAATTCAGTATTTGACACTTTTAACGCTATTTAGAGGTGTAGAAATGTAAAACATGCAGACTTGTGAGAACGCCTTTATGCTTCTCTCCTGACCTTGAAAATATAATTGGCTGAATTGTGGAAAAGCTGAATTAAGATTGCTCATAGGGTCGATTTGAGATTATAATCTTTTTCCGATTAACTGTGCAGCCCTACATGTGGCACAAGTATAAAAAAAAAAAACAGTGTAAAATCAGGTGACGTTGATGACTTGATTTTTGAGTTGCCATATTAGCTTCTCTGGCTATGTCATTGCAAAATAAAAAAACAGATTAAGTTTACAACATATCACTTTTCTATAATTATAAAAAAAAAGCAAAAAAAAAAGTCATCAACATCAATAAATAATACATAAAATTTATAAACAACAATAATAATAATAATAATAATAATAATAATAAGATAAAAACTAAAACAGTAAAAAGTAAGGTTTAATTTTGATAAAAATTGCACAATTCTAGAAGCATTTACATTTAAAAAAATATTTCATTTAAAGTCTCTCTAGATAAAAATCATTGTCTGATAACATTAAAAAATAGGGCCTTCCACAAGTATATGTTTAAAAGCTTGGTTTTTGTTGCAATATTTACCTTTTGTGGATTCTTCTCCTTTGAGTAAATGTTCATGTGTGAGTCTTGTGCGTTTCTGGCTGGATTTCAAACCGATTATTTTCTGATCCCATTCTGCTTGCCATTTGTTAAATATATAGCCTTTTATTAGTGGCTTTAAATCTGAAGGTGGGATTTTGCACTCCTTTATCTTTGCTGTTAAGGCTGTTTTGGCAGCTTTGTCGGCTTGTTCTTTTCCATATAGTCCAACATGTCCCGGGATTCTTTTTCTTAAAATTTTACTATATGATAAAATTTTCTCTGTAGTTCATTCACTTTGATAAAAATGCCAATAATAACAAGATGCTCCAGTTTAAATGAATTTACTGTTTGTAGACAAGATTTTGAGTCAGTCAAAACAATAAAATTGTGTTCTTCAGCAGCATGTTCCAGAGACTAAAAAAAAAAAAGAATATCTTTGTGGCATTGATGACAAAACTGTTGCTTGGCTTGCCTAAATTTTATAAACTAATATTTGAACACAACTTGTCTGGTTTAATCTAACACTAAAAGCTTAAAGTGGAGTTCAGCCACTTTCATCTTTCAATTAGAAATAACAGCGCTTAAATTGTAAGAAATGTTTAGATTATAGTTCATCAGTTAAGAATTTGTGTCATTTGTTTTCTGTTTTTCAGTTACTCTAAAACAGCTTGCCAGCAAAATCAATTTTATTTATTGATTGACTTAAAATTGTGGAATAAATGTCATTAATTTAAAAGCAAATTTGTATTTGTCAGTATCAGCAGATATCACTCGAAATATCTAACTACAAAAATCAGCAAAAAAAAACAAGCACTTATAAAATGAATTTGCGCAATATTTTTACAAATGATAAATAATAATAATTTTACTTTTAATTAGCATAATTGTAGTAAAGCAACCAAAACTGACAGTAAAGACAACATCAAAATATTTATTTTTCAAATATTTGCAATCTCTACCTATTCATTAAACTATTTATGAAGACTGGAGTTATGGCTGCTGAAAATTCTGCTCTGCTAGTACTAGTATAAATTATTGCATACAAAAATGATCACGGATATTGTCATTTTAATTTATAATAATATTTCACAATTATGCTGTACTTAAAGAACTGGATATTTGATCAAATTCAAAAATATAAAAAAAATCAAATTTAACAACCCAATTTTAGCAGGTCAGCAGCACACATCAGATAATAAAATAAAGAGAGCAAGAAAAGCACACACACTTACTTAGTGAGTCTTTCAATGCTCTGTACATGAACATTGGTGTGTGTCTCTGCTAGAACTGCTTCATGCTGGGCACACTTCAGACATAGACCACTCACACGCTGACCAGTGCCCGCCGCCACAGCCATTGCTTCTTTGTGCCTCAGTCGTTCTTTACTTTCCTCATATTCCTTCTGAATGCAGGCCAAGTCTTTCCTACACAGGCACATGCAAAAAAGACACCGTTACTGTATGGAAATAAAGTATGATGCTTGATTATAATGGTGGATAGCATCACAGTGCAAATACTTCAGAAGCTGATTGTTGTTAAACACTAAAGAAGCACTATACACCACATTGGCCTACACTCCAGCAATGAATTGTTTTCAGCGGTAGTAATTTAAAATCGTTCTCTTACACCATAAGCATGTAGAAGAACACAAGATAAAATTATATTTCATGTTTTATTTTAGTTAATTTTAGCAATGCAAATGAATACAATGTGTAATTCAATCAGCAACCACCCAGATGTTAGAGTGTATTTACTATGATTGGATTCAGTGAGAGAAAACGTTTCAGCATTGAGGTGCACTTACTTCAGGGAGACCACTTGAGCCTCCAGAGTCTCAGTTTGTGCTTGATAGAGACACTTCAGTTGCTCCTGAGATGAAAACACATAACTTTAATGCATTCTGAACTGATTTATTCAAGGCACATTTGCAGCTGCACAAATGTTTAATCACAAATACCATTTCTTTCCTCCACTTGTGGTCCTCCGCTTGATTAACAGAACCTAGTCTTTCCTTTAAAGTGTTTTCTGCTGTGTGTTCCATGTTTAACTGAAAATATATAACAGAGCATATAGTTATTAAATTGAAAAATATGAGACATTATAACAGAATTGTGTGTGTTGAAAATTCAAAGCAAATATAGAGTGAAGATCAAATTTTCATCGTTCATTGACCAAAATTTTAATTTCAGTTTTGATATAGCATGCGGGTGACAGCCTTTTGAGGAAAACACAGTGATCCAAACTAGAGAAAATTGGTATTTGCCATAGAAGGATTTCAACTAAATTTTTTCTAGGTTACACAAGTCAGATATTAACAATAATTGTAGATGCTTTTACTTTGACTCATCTGCAGAAACAAGAAATCGCTAGTCTTCACGCTGTTCTGCTTTGATCTTGAGGTCAGCTCTTTATTGTTCTCTTGCACAGTTCACTGAATGTAGTAAGTTTCTTAGCCATTAGTTTGTCACCAAGGATTTTCCAGAGTTTTTTAATCAGGTTAAGATCAGGACTCTGGGCTGGTCATGTCATTGAATTCATGTTTTTAACATCAAAGGACTGCTTTGCTTATTTTGTAGATAAACGGATGCTCAACATATCAAGATTTGCTAATTCTTTGGGTATCAATAAAGATGCTCTTAAATTGATACTGGGAAAAAGTTGTGACCCAATTTAAAAGAAAAACACCCTTTAAAATGTATAGGATTAGACATTAATCTTAAGTTGTCCAGACCTTTATTAAATTATTATTATTGAATTTAAATTTGTAAGGCACGTTTGTACTTGCAATACACACAAAAATACATTTTATATCTTTTTTGTCTTACATGAGGTATATTATTTTTATTATTATTAATGTTATTTATTCACTTTATGGTTTTGAACTGATTTGAAGCAATACAAAACAGTGCAGGCTCTCTTCGAAAATGCTATCCTTTATACAGATACAGATCGTTATACTGTTCAGTGAACTGGAACTGGCAACCGTAAGTTAGGGCACACACTTTTTCACACACGGCTATGTAGTTTGACATTTAATTTTTACAAATTGCATTATGTGTTTACTTGTGTTATCTTTGACTAATATTTAAATTTGTTGGATGGTCCGAAACATTAAAGTGTGACAAACATGCAAAAAATCCCCAAAATAAAAAAAAAAAAAGGGGGGGGGGGGGCAAACTTTTTGACACCACTGTATATATAGTATGTATAAACTGACTGCAGGTTTTAATGTCATACATTTTCATAAGACATGCAATTATACATCTTCAATTTCATTACTAAAAGTCTCTATGATACATACTGTGCTATCAACAAATGTGTATTCTTTAAGCGTGTCTTCAATCGTCTTTGCTTTCAGCTCATGGTGTAGTTTCTCATTCTCCACGATCACCACTCTAACTCTCTGCTTCATTTCCAGGAGCTCCTCCTTAAAAAAACAAACCAAAAGTAATATTAAGAAGAAAAAAAACAGAGCAATAACTATGAACAAAAAAACACCAAATGACCAGATGAATAACACTTGCTTCATCTAGGAAACCCCTCATAATCAGACTCACTGAATTAATTAAGATAAACTCATTGATAATATCTCATCTTAATTAATAGGACTGACCTTGCAGAACTTGACCTCAGCCTCCAGGTGCTGAATGTACTCAGACTGGTTGTTTATGATGGGAACCAAGTTATGAACACCAGGCTGACTGCTACTGCCATCATCTGTGGCTCTCTGCTAGACAGCACAATCAAATCAGGTCAATATATATGATGTTTACACAGGTTTTTTTTTTTATTAATACTGGGCAAACTATAATTAAAAACAATACAACTAAATTAACAAAAGATGAGTGCCATGGTTTAAACTTAGAACATATTAGATTAAATTAAAATACTAAAAACATGTTCACTGGAAACAGAGGTAATAATAACATGCACATCTTACAAAAACTGTGCTTCACTAATAAAGCCAGGGGTTTCTAAATGGAAATATATTTTGGAATTTGCATATTAAGCATTGAGATTCTAACATAACATGTTTCAATAATTTACTAATTGATTTACATTTATTTGTAGCTAATTAAAAAAGCTAATTTAATCATTTAATTTAGCATGTAACCGGTTCTGATTTTCATATAACATTTTAAAATCAAATCTTTTTTTCTAAAGTTAATAAAACAACACATTTTTAGAAAGGTCTAATGGCTTCATTTGATGTCTGTTCTGTGATAAAAGTGATCAGATGACAGAGATGGTTTGTTACTGGTGAATGTATATAAGAAGTGAAGTATTTAGATGTCACACAATGGCTATATTTCATATAGTGCATAATCAAAATCTAAAATGAACCTTCATTTTTGTAATCAATTTCAGACTCAAAATAAAAATGAGTTGTTAACGTAATCTAGAATTAACAAAATTAAACAAATTGTTTAATTTTACGATTTAAAATTGTTTTGCTCTCTCTTGATCCATTATCTTTTTTAAAAACAGACAATCCTGATTTTTAATGATTTCAAAAAATACACAATTTGAGTATGTTTTTTAAGTCTATGTTAAGTTTTCAAGTCTATGTTAAAAAATGGGGGTGCTACTCAAAAGGTAAATTAATAAACAATAAACAGAGTGTACCTTTGCTGCCAGTTTCCTTCTGGAAGGGGAAAGTGATTGAATATTGGCATCCTTGGTCTTCATTTGAAGCAAGGAACGCAGCTGACTGACTGAAAACAAAAAAAAAAAACAAAAAAAACAAAAAAAAACATAAAATTATCTTGAAACATATAAATTATCCCAGAGATGGGTTTCGGCTGGAAGGCAATCCGCTGCGTAAAAACTAGCTGGATAAGTTGGTGGTTCATTGCGCTGTGGCGACCCCGGATTAATAAAGGGACTAAGCCGACAAGAAAATGAATGAATGAATGAAAATCATCTGTGGTGTAAAGTAACAAACTACAGATATTCAAATTATTGCAATCAAGTAGTTTTTCCTCAGGAGTTGTACTTTTTAAAGCAGTTTAAAAATGTGCACTTTTACTTTAGCTTATGTTATTCATTTTATCTATAGTGATTGCTAAGTAAAATATTCAGTCCCGTGATTTTCACCCAATCAAGTCATTCATTCATTTTCTTTTCGACTTAGTCCCTTTATTAATCTGGGCTTGCCAGAGCGGAATGAACCGCCAACTTATCCAGGATATGTTTTACGCAGCGGATGCCCTTCCAACTGCAACCCATCACTTGAAAACATCCATAAACACTCATTCACACACATACACTAATGACAATTTACCCAACCCAATTCTCCTATACCGCATGTTTTTGGACTTGTGAAGAAATCGGAGCAGCCGGAGGACACCCACACGAACACAGAGAGAACATGCAAACTCCACACAGAAATGCCAACTGATCCAGCCGAGGCTCTAACAGCGACCTTCTTGCTGTGAGGCGAACATGCTACCCACTACGCCACCGTGCAGCCCCCAATCAAATCATAAACAGAAAAATCAGACAGACTGACCTCAAGACACAAATGCTTTATCAATGCAGCAAATATGTGTAGTGTGTAAGCATTAAAAGTGTCCAAGAAGATGCAAAAATCAACAGACTGCATGTCACTGATGAGAACATAAGGGATGCCTGCTGTACGATAACTGAAATAACCTTAAACAATAACTAAATGCACTAATAATGTTACGTTTTCAAATACATGCACAACCTGCATGTATTCTTTTTAAATTAAAATTTTTAGGCTATAAGGCAAAATTATTTTCACAGCGTAATACTTTACTAATAGTATTCTTGAGTAATTATAAATGGGCTACTTTTTAATCATACTTTCAGTAGCATTTACAAAAATTACTTTTACTCTACTTGCACTACATTTTTGTGGGGGGTGGGGAGGTGTTGGGGGCAATTAATCCTACATTACCTTGAGTATGATTTTCAGTACTCGTCCCACTACTGAAATCAATAAACACAAAAATGTTTAAATCTCTGTATAAGCTGGTTTAAAACACGGTATAACCAGAAGGATGCCACCAAGTCCTTCATAATGCTAATTTATCAGAAAAGTAATATTCTTCCAACATGATGTGTACCTGCTTCACTCTGCTGAACTGGAGAACAAGGGTTTTGTTGCACAGAACTGAGCAACTCCTGCTGGTTTGGTTCTGACGTCTCGGAGTCAGAGCTGTGGCCGGCCAACATGCTGGACAGATGCTGGATACTGCGGTTGGCTCGCTCTTAAACGAAATAAAATGCAAGTGAATAGATTGATTTTATTGTGCAAAATAGGAGCTTCCAATGCTTGAATAAGGTATACTGCAGGTCAGTGCAAACGGGTGCAGAGACCTCAAGGGGATGTTGGAATAAGAAAATGTTTGGAGGAAAAAAAGCATGATATACAGTCAAAGTCAGAATTATTAGCCCCCGTGTTAATTTTGTTCCCCAATATCTGTTTAACAGACAGAAGATTTCTTCAACACATTTCTAAACATAATAGTTACATAATAGTAACTCATTTCTGATAACTCATTTATTTTATCTTTGCCATGATGACAGTAAATAATATTTGACTAGATATTTTTCAAGACACTTCTATACAGCTTAAAATGACATTTAAAGGCTTAACTAGGTAAAATAGGTTAACTAAGCAGGTTAGGGTAATTAGGCAAGTTATTGTATAATGATGGTTTGCTCTGTTGACTTCAACTGTAAATAAATATATACACAAACAAAAATATATATTAGGGTTGTTCAAACTCGGTCCTGGAGGGCCAGTGTCCTGGAGAGTTTAGCTCCAACCTTAAGCAAACACACCTGAACCAGCTAATTAAGCTCTTGACTAATTATACTAAAAATTTCCCTGCAGGTGTGTTGAGGCAAGTTAGAACTAAACTCAGCAGGACACCGACCCTCAAGGACCGAGTTTGGACACCCCTGATATATACAAACACATTAAAAATGGATTCAAACAATAAATAAATATTTGATGAAACTAATTTTACAATAGTTTTACATTTGCATGTTCCTTCAGTGGCGACTCCTAATTACTAAAGAGGCTAAGCCGAAAAGAAAATGTATGAAGGAATATTCGTTCAGTGACAATGTGTGCCAGGCTTCCTATATTGTTTACCATAGTACTTTGAATATTCCGTCTGAAATCACATGCAAGTATGACTTAAAAACAACATACTATTTATTTGACTGTGAACAATGTTGTACTTTAATAGTCATTGGCTGCCAATATGATTTCACTATTTGGAGTTTGCAAAGAATACTTTAATGAAATGATATTAAGAAGGATAAAGTTATAATGCGTGAATATAAAACCAACTTTAGCTCAATAACTAAAACACGTGTGAAAATACACATATCTGAACTCAAATATTTAATATTTTCTAAATAATATTTTGAAACAATTTATGATAAAAATAAAGTATAAATACGTATAGGGACTATAGCATCTTGGTTCAGGGGATCTGAAAGGCTGAAAACTCCTGTTTTTATTATATATTGGTAAAAAAAAAAGTGAACATTTTAGCTAACTATATGCTAATGTAAAGAGTTTGGTACAGTTTCACACACACAAAAAAAATTATGTTGCAATGTATAACACCCGGTCAGAAGCTCATTGTAAGTGTTTAGAAACTGGTCATGCTGCACACTATTGTCGTTTTAGAAGAGCAACACAGGCTGAAATGCAGCATCAAAACATCACCTCTCAGCGTCTTCTGCAGTGCTCCTAATTCCTCTTCCTCGTCTGACTCCAAGGACGGTTTCATTGTTGCCTAAAACGCTTAATGAACGCCAATGTTGTTTAAAACAAACAACACAAATTCTCTTACTCGATACTTCAACAGCTGCAGTATTTTGTTATCAATGAACAGCGTCCAAAAAGACGTCAACGGTTGCATGGCAGACGAGCGCTTCCGTAAACCGCTTATAGGCAACTGGAACTTGTAGTTTTTACGATATCAAATTCGCTTGGTTAGATTGTTGAAAAAACTACAATGCTGTAATTTCCGCTAAGCACAACGTTCTCGTAGAGAGTTTTGTTTATTATCGAAGCATGCTTATTATTGTAAACAGCATATTTACAGCCAAAATTCATTAACAGTCAGTCATAAAAAATTTATATTTATGAAATATTGATGCGGAATTCATTGTATGAGGACACGCCCACCGGACTGTGTTGGAACTGCAAACGCTGTCCTACTTGCCTGATTCCAGGCTGCCGTATGTCGCCGCTATTTGTTAGGAATAACGTTATTGCTGCTGAGCAACTGAGGCAAATAGGAGACGTGGGGATACACACTGGGCTGGGCTACGAAAACCGTTTAGCTGCTGCATTGAAGCCCGGGATAAAACTGACAGCGAAAAGAAGAACAAGGGTGAGTGAGCGATTTGATAATAAAAAGAGCCGTTCTTATATTTCGTGCATGCAACGATGAAGCGTTTATTATAAGGCTAATGTATTGATGCATTTGGTCGTGTTCAACCTTTTTTTTCGCACAATGCTGTGGTGTACAGAATCCATGCTTTTCCCGTGATCTGATCTGATCGTGTGCTCAGGATACCGTAGATGTAACAGCAGGACACTGCTAGCCGGGTCGATCAAATTGAATGAACACTGCCTGCCTTTATGTGTGGTTTTGTATCAATGTTGTGCCTTTCAGTGTTCGCGATTCTTAAATGACTTATGTTTTCATACTGTGAGGTATTAATGTATGCTTTGATATCGAGTTTGATTATGGGTGCGCGTTGAGGAAACATCACTGGTCACCAGTTTCCCTAAACGCGTGGCATCTTGCTTACTATTGTAATATTAGCTCTCGATCGCAGCGAAGCACTAAAAACATCAGTAGCCTATTTCAGTAGTGGACGTCGGATGGGTAGGAGATGTGGATGATTTGCCGGGTACTGGTGCACACTGTGAAGGGCACTGCGCAGAATCCTTTGTTTTGACAAAGGCTCTTGTTTTGTTCTGGTAACGTTACATCTGGCCTACGTTTGTTTTGATTGCAGTATTATTATTATTATTATTAAAATATTAATACTTTTCAGCTATGCAAAAGGTTTATACGTGCTATTAAATGTTTTCTGCATCCGTATTTTATGAGGTGATTATCAAAATAGGCAATCTTATTGACAGTGCACTGTCTAGTGTGGTTGATTAAGTGTAGATTAATAGTTAAACAAAGGTTTTTGTGTCATTGTTAATTTTTTAGAGATTATTTTTAACATGTTATTGATACTACAATCTTAAAACTGTATATAGAGTAGGCATGGGATGATAACCGGTTTCAATGTTTACCACAGTTTGGAGAAGTCTGTCAGTCTGTCAGAACGTTTTAAAACCATCATGTTTTTCTGTTATACCATTTCTAAGGTATATGTAAGTTTTATGTTTTTAATGTTTTTAAGACATTACTTAGAAATTATACTGGATATTATATTTAGTTTTTTCAGGGTGGTATCTCGGTATATCCAGCTGAAAAAACCCTCCAAGTCTAAATGCTGTTACAAAATATTTTCAAATGTTTCTTAAAATAAATATATTGTGTTCAGTGGAGAAAAAAAAGTATTTTTTTTTTTACCCAGACATTTAAAAATAACTTATTTTAGAGCAGTAATCACAATACTGTGATTGCATGAAACAGTGATGCTTTCATTCAAGGTTATAGGTTACTGTCAGAATATTATACCGACCCATGCCTAATATAGAGACTGTCTTAAAAACTTTTTTGGCAGCATTTTTGAGTCACATTAAGATATTCAGTGAGCTGTGTGTTTTTTGAACTTTCCTGAAGAGCGGGTTAAAATGACAGTTTACCAAGAAATAAAATGTAACATGCTTATTAAATTACCCACCCTTAGGTCATCTACACTGTAAACGATTTCTGTTGTTTTCACAGTATTATACTGCATTTCTCAACAGTTTTTTACTGTATAAGCTGTGCACAGTGTGTTACTGTATATATTGTTGTTTTCACAGTATAATAATGTATTTTCAACTTTTCTATACTGTGAACATGGTTAACAGTATGTTACTGTAGATTTTATAATGAATTTTGGGGAAAAATCTGTTACTGTGTATCTAAATACAGTACTGCAAATGACCAAGAACAACTCCACACACACTATATATTATGATTATTATGTTTATTTATTTTTAGACAAATAATTTTGTGAAGTAAATAACCTAACCAGTTTCTTCAGACTGTTCAGTGCATTAAACTGTCCCCTGGTTTTCCATTTTTGGGTGCACTTTATAAGGCAACATGGAAATATTAAATAATATTTAATAAACATAACTTTGTGCTAAACCAAAACGTAAATTGGAACAAAAATAAATTGATTCACGTAACCAAAGACTGTTAAACACACAAAATGATTTTAAAGTCAGCTTAAATGTCAGAGTGACCAACCTGCTTTAGACGGATTCAAGAATATTGGGCACCCATGGGCCACCGTAGAGGTCACATATCTCCGCATTTTCAAAACAACATTTTAAAATACGCACTATCTTAATAAATAAACCACAGAATTGAGTTTAAAACAACTACATTCTCGCATGAAAAACGGTTAAAACTTTATTTCATAACACATTTATTATCTAGTCATCGAAGACAGGGGATGTCTCAATAATGTCTAGGCCGATTAAAGCATGAGGTTTGCCGGATACATAGTGATGGAGCGCCGTCATCCCCTGGAGGTCAGAATCTCCCCTATCGGCAAAGCACACTTAAAATTAAACATGATATCTAAAAACAAACCACAGATTTGAGTTTGGAAGAGCTACATTCTCGCATGAAAAACAGTTAAAACTTCATTTCGTGACATATTAAACGCAATATTTATGATATGATCTGGCTTTTCTCATCCGCCATTACGTTATATTTGCTTGTTGGTGTGAAATGAACTCTGGGAGAAAAAAATATTAATTCTCAAAACACTTCAAGCGAACCTTATTCTTATTGTTAAAGTCAGATATATGTAATATTTTCGCTGGTAAAGTGAGAAGAAAAAAACAATATTACTATTTTATCAATATCACGTTTGCACTGGTTCGGTTCAGCACACAAACGACACCGAATCGGATTGAACCGTTTGCTCGGGAATTATTTTATCACACGTGTTTACAAGCACATTATGTGTATAAATGTGTGTGGCCGAGCAGTATAACGAAATAGTAATGACTGTTGTGTCTTACAATAATATACAAAAAGGAATCGGTTTTAGGCGGATTCGACTCTTTACTGTTCTAAGGAGCCGATTCATAAAGCCGAGCCGACTCGATTCGACCTTCACCAGGCAAGCAACGGCTCTCCTAATTTGAAATCCACCTGTCGCCTTTTCTTCCAGTGAATTCATCCTCGGTAAGTGTTTAAAAGTTAAATTCTGTTCGTTAAAGGATTGTTTTGTGTATATTTACGTGTAGTGTGGGTGTAATTTAAAATAATTAACCAAGTTACTTTAGTTGTACTGTAAGTTAGGTACTTATGTCACGTTATTCGACGCCAGACCGTGTTTGTAGTGTTTGCGAGGTATTAGATAAGGTAATTACAGTGAGTTTATCTTGAGTGAGTTTTTGACCATAGTAACGTTAAGTTACCTGAAAAAAAAACGTAACTTTTACTTGGGGTTAACTGCATTAATGAATTCTCTATTTCAGCACAACACTGAGATGAAGGCAAAGTCACCATGAAAAGTTAAACGTTTAACGTTAAGGTAAGCTCTGGTCTTCATGTGGTCATTATGACTAAGTTATCATTATGGTTAAATTTGTAAACTGTAAGTTAGTTATTCAAACTAAACTCACAATGAAAGTCTAACTGTTTTATTAAATTGAGCTGATAATAAAATTCAGTTGATGTCTTTTAAGCTAACGTTAATATTAACATAATTCATATTAAATGTCTATTTCTCACTGGTTAATGAGCTTATTGTATAACGTTATTGTGTCATTAATTGTACATTTTATTTTTGGTGTTCAGGTGTAGGGAATGATTTGTATACAAATTTATTTGAACCCCATACAGATTTGTATGGTTGTACCATAGATTTAGATTATTAAATGTTAAGTCTTATTTTACTCTTATTATATTTATCTTTTTTGCACCTTTAGCAATTGATGCTGAAAAACTGATGCTACCAATCACTCCTCACTTGATTATTCAAGGTAATGTTGATGTCTTCCTTATTTTTATTAGATTTTGAAATGTCAAGTTGTTCACAGATTTGTTGTGAGGAGTTTCATGTACAACCTCTTTTTCTCCTTCTTCCAGTAGCGACGCAGTGGCACAGTAGGTAGTGCTGTCACCTCACAGCAAGAAGGTTGCTGGTTCGAGCCTCGGCTGGGTCAGTTGGCTGAATACAATGGCATAATGATTCTGCTTGCTCACAGGAGGTACTTGATTTAGTTTTCCTCAAGCGATACATCAGTTTTTATGAGTAATGCGTGACACTTGAATTGAAGGGACAGTTCACCCAAAAATGAAAATAATGGCATCTTTGGCATCCTCCACTTGTTTCAAAGTAGTTCGATTTTTTTTTGTTCCATTGAACACAAACTCATATTTTTTTTTAAAGAAATTTGGTTCAAATATGGATGTCAATAGTTTCTGGTTTCTAACATTCTTCAAAATATCTGCTTTAGTGTTCAACAGAAATTTAAATGGATTTAAAACACATGGAGTAATGGTGGCAGAATAGTAAACTATCCTTTTAAATATTTTATTCTGAGACTTATTTATATGTGTCTTGTCTTTTGCCATATTGTCTTTCTAGCTCAGATTGTGATGGACCTGGAATGTGACACCAGTTACTCTTAAGTCAAGAACCAAATAAAGCACAGATGTGGAGGGATCTGCAACTAAACTAACTGGAGGAAAGGAACCTTTAGGTAAAAACACCTGCTTTATTTAGATCTGA